AAGGACATTGGGTGCCGTATGACTTGAAGTCGAGAGACGTTGAACGGTGTCTTGTCACGTCTGCACAGTTGCTTCAACGGCAGAAAAGGTTACCAACGATGAAAAGTGGATACACCACGATAACACGCAGCGTAGAAGATTGTGGGGCAAGCCCGGCCATTAATCAACATCAACAGCAAAGCCGAATATCTATGGTTCGAAGGTTCTGCTCTGCATTAGGTGGCTTCAACTGGGTGTAGTTTATTATGAGCTGCTGAAACCGAGCGAAATCATCACAAGAGATCGCTATCGACTACAACTGATGCGTTTGAGCCGGGCATTGAAGAAAAACGGCCGCTATACGAGCAGAGACACGACAAAGTGATTTTGTAATATGACAACGCTAGGCCACATGTTGCAAAACGGAAAAAAATCTACTTGGAAACGATTAAATGGGAAATCCTACCCCCACCCACCGTATTCACCAGACGTTGCCCCATCCGATTATCATTTGTTCCGCTCGATAGCACATGGTCTAGCTGAGCAGCGTTTTCATTCTTATGAAGATGCCAAAAAATGGGTCGAGTCGTGGCTAGCCTCAAAAGACGTCATTTTTCCGACGTGGAATTCAAATGCTGCCAGAAAGATGGGAAAACGTAGTGGGTAGCGATGGACAATACTTTCAGTGACATGTTTCTTACTAATTTTTGTAAATAAAACATTGCTTTTCATTAAAAAAAATCAGCGAGAATTTATTCAAGGTCCTGATATATATATATATATATATATATATATATATATATATATATATATATATATATATAGGGTATGATGGGTAAATTGTATCCATTTTATATTTTTAATTTCGCGCATGGGTTGTTTGTTTTTGAGTTTATCGACTGCACTGTATTGTAATGTCAGTTGGGCACCGACTGTGAGAAAAAGATCACCATAACGGAATTTACTGCGACAGAAATTTGGAAACGACAAAATGTACTACTTGTTATTCGCACCGGTAGCTCAAATACGAACATTTCAAAGTGTTTGGGTGTCAATCTGAAGACAGTAAAGAAGATTCAGAAAGACTTGGATGAGTCTAAACGTGATTAAGAAGGGACGGCAGCTCGGAAACCTGCTCTGGGTCAAGAAGGTGGCTGCTGGAAAATCTTATATCTGGTAACAGGACTTTGCACCATGCCACAAAAGCAGGAGAACGCAATCATTGCTGCCAAACAATTTCTACCAACACATCACCCACTTACATCTGGCAGTTGCGCGAGAGACCAATAAAACTCCTTGTGACACCAAACTGAAGGCAAGGATTATGATAGCATTCACCAACGTAAACAAGGAAACTGCCCAGAAGAGTTGCAGGAGATTCCGAAGTCGACTGGAATCCATGGTTGAAACCAATGGCGATTTTATTGAATAAATTTATTCTTTAGTATATCAAGATATTTTTGTGCAATTTTGGTAAATATATCTGTTAAAATGAGACGTTAGTGTTATTTTCATTTTTGCGTAATTTAGACGACAATTTATCTATCGCACCATATATATAATAGTCAGAACACAAGCTAAAATTTAGAATTAGCTAAAAACTTAAAATATAAAATAAACTGATGGCTGAACGGCAAAGTCGTCAGTTTAAGGTTTAATATAATATATTATTAATAATAGCATAACAATCATCAGGCGGATAAAATTTTGTGGATTTTGATTGTATTGCATTAATAATATTGTTAGAAGATATATATATATATATCGAGAGAGAGAGGCGGGGAGAAAGAGAGACAGACAGAGCAGATAGATGTGTATCTATCTATTATGTAGATATGTATGTCTTAAAATATCTCACCACAGCAGTATGAGCTTCCTGAATGTCAGTAAGACACGATGGAAAACGGGCCTTCCTCTGCCACACTAAACAATGGTGCATCGGCTAAGAACTTTGAATTTAGAATTGTTGTAGACTGGTGACTGTCAGTTTCTCAATTCAACTATGTGTCACTACTCTTTTAGCGGGCTCTCTATGTAGGCCACGTGGGTGGAGGAGATTGAGAAAAGTGAGAAAATTCGGAAACTGACCTTTTCCTGTTCTTTTGTTTTCGGCTAAAGTGTTAGGTTATTTATTTCTATGCTCTTTAGTTCGTTGATTTTATTTATTTATTATTTTAAATCTATTCCCATTCATTTATTTTGTATCATTTGTCTTTGGTTCAACATTTTAGCATTTGGGATTAAAGTTGAATATTATATGCCACAAAAGCATATTACCCGGAACAGACCATTGATAATAGGATATGGGAAATTTCAATCGTAAGATTCTCTCAATACGAAACAAATACACTTATTTTCCTTACCCAGAAAAATGTCGTAATTACCCACAGACCTTGTTCTGTTAACACTTTGACTGTCAATCCAAAATCAATATAGGGTCATGTGGAGGTCGTATGTTTAATTTTTAATTTTTTTTAAATATTTTCCAAACAATATGTTAGGTATCAAGGAAAGTTTTTGTGTGTAAATATTTTTTAAAAAATGGCCGTCGAAGTTTTTTTCCTAACCTCGGAAGCCATGTCACCAACGAGTGGTGACGTCTGCTTTATCGCCTGCATAAAATTTTATTTTGGATTTTCCAAATAATTTATATAAAATACGTTATATTCTAACAATTAGATGCTTCATGGCAAACAAAGAAGCATTATTATGTGCTATAAATATGATTTACACTCATTTTATAATTACGGCCACATCACTGGTGATAAAATTAATTCTGAAAATATTACACACATTTTAGTTTAATGGTTTACATGAGTTTTTTTAATACCTACTATACATTTATAAAGTCTTCAAGTAAAAGTTAAAAGAAGTACGATATATATTTTCCAAAACTTTCACAGGAAACCTCATACATAGCTTTATACAGAAATATGCATAGAGTGTCTCCAACAGTTGGCGAAACAACTTCAAATGAAAATATAACCTTCACTTGTATTCGCAAATGCTGCACAAACTGAATAGCCTTGGTGACATGGCAGTCAATGTGTTGAAATAAAAATATCTGCATAAGTTACCTCTGATGTTTTATTAGCTGGCAATATCTGGGATTAATAACTTTAAGAACCTATATAAATTACGATTTTGGGAAACAACCGAATTAAACAAATTCAAATTATAGCTGAAACATTCTTAGCATGTATTCGATTAATCAATCAGTTTCAGCCAAAATAAAACTGTTTTTTTTTATTGGAAATGCAAGTTAATACTATTTTTTATTGGAAATGCAAGTTAATACTATTTTTTATTGGAAATGCAAGTTAATACTATTTTTTATTGGAAATGCAAGTTAATACTATTTTTTATTGGAAATGCAAGTTAATACTATTTTTTATTGGAAATGCAAGTTAATACTATTTTTTATTGGAAATGCAAGTTAATACTATTTTTTATTGGAATAGCAAGTTAATACTATTTTTTATTGGAAATGCAAGTTAATACTATTTTTTATTGAAATGCAAGTTAATACTATTTTTATTGAAATGCAAGTTAATACTATTTTTTATTGAAATGCAAGTTAATACTATTTTTATTGGAATAGCAAGTTAATACTATTTTTTATTGAAATGCAAGTTAATACTATTTTTTATTGGAAATGCAAGTTAATACTATTTTTATTGAAATGCAAGTTAATACTATTTTTTATTGAAATGCAAGTTAATACTATTTTTTATTGAATAGCAAGTTAATACTATTTTTTATTGGAAATGCAAGTTAATACTATTTTTATTTTTTATTGGAAATGCAAGTTAATACTATTTTTATTGAAATGCAAGTTAATACTATTTTTATTGGAAATGCAAGTTAATACTTTTTTTTATTGGAAATGCAAGTTAATACTATTTTTATTGGAATAGCAAGTTAATACTATTAAAATACTATAAAATACTATTAAATGAATAACAACTTAAAATAGAATTGACTTATAATTCATAAAGAAAGATGAAGATTGCACTTCATTTAAAACATATATCACCTTCAATATGTGTCTAGATGAAGTATTATGATTACTTACATTATTTACATCATTCGGACTGTTATCCTCATCTTCATTGCTATATTCACAACGTTTCGATCGTTGTACGCTCCGGCCTTCTTCAGGTGACAGCAATTTCGAATCGAACCCTTTATTTTTTCCACCTTTATCCACTGGGCCATGTTTCATCAAGGAGACGTAACCCAGTGGATAGACCCAAAGAGTTGTGAGTTCAGTATCAGACTACAGCAGTGGTGAATCAAAACCTGGAGATTTGAGTTAAAGGGAAATAAGTGAGACATCCAGAAGAGACGTGGCACGTGGAACTAGAACAATCTAGTCCGGTGAACGAAATAAAGGGTTCATTTCGAAATTCCAGTCACCTGAAGAAGGCCGGAGAGTAAAACGGCCGAAAAATTGTGAATATGGCAATGAAGATGAGGTTAACTGTTAACCTCATCTTCATTGTTAACCGTTAACAGTCCGAATAATCTAAATAGTATATCACCTTATTAATCTGCAAAGTTTCAGTTTTTCAGAATGCATGATAAATAAATCATTAGAAATATTATACCTTTCAAGTAACACACTATAAAATGGAGGTCATCATTTTTCATTTAATATTCGAGCGCTTTTTGTGTCTACTATGACGTGCGCGCGTGAGGTATCAATAAAAGGGCGGCGTATCGAGTAGTCTGTGAGAGTTCGCGTGTTAGTTGAAGAAGCATCCGGACGTAACAGTCCGAGTCGAGATCATTACGAAATCTTTCTGTCTATGATCTACTTCCGGACGTACGAAAGCTGTTTGCGGATAAATAAACTGGGCTATAAAGTAAAAAAAAAAAAAAAAAATAAAAAAAGAAAAAAAAAAAAAAAAAAAAAAAAAAAAACACAACGATTCCTGGGACATTAAAAAAAAACAATTTACAATTTATCTGCTTCCTTCATTTCATTTCCTTTTTCTTTGTGGGTGAGTTGGAGATTTTCAGAAAACGAGATAGATAGATAGATAGATAGATAGATAGATAGATAGATAGATAGATAGATAGATAGATAGATAGATAGATAGATAGGGAAAAACAAAGAAAGAAAAAAGAAAGAAAGAAAGAAAGAATCTAGAAGAAACAATAGAGTTAAGACAGACAGAAAGAAAAAAAGAAAGAAAGAAAGAAAGAAAGAAAGAAAGAAAGAAAGAACTTAGGATAGATAGGATAGATAGATAGATAGATAGATAGATAGATAGATAGATAGATAGATAGATAGATAGATAGATAGATAGTGAAAAAGAAAGAAAGAAAGAAAGATGGAGAGAAAAAAAGAACGTTAGATAGATAGATAGATAGATAGATAGATAGATAGATAGATAGATAGATAGATAGATAGATGGTGAAAAAGAAAGAAAGAAAGATGGAGAGAAAAAAAGAACGTGAGATAGATAGATAGATAGATAGATAGATAGATAGATAGATAAGAAAGAATCTAGAAGAAAGCAGCGCGTTGAGAAAGAAAGAAAGAAAGAAAGAAAGAAAGAAAGAACGAACGAACGAACGAACGAACGAACGAACGAACATGAAAAACAATAAGAGTTAAGGTGGGAAAAGAAGGCAACGGGTTTCTCTGCTCCGTTTTCCACAATTTTTATTTATATATTTGTACGAGGTACGTTGTAAGGTAGAGAACTGGGGAGGGTTGGCTGTTCAGCTGTTTGAAGAAAGAGAGAACTAAGGAGAACCAAGCATTGTTAGTGGGAATTAGAACGAGAGGTGAATTGGAAGTAAGGAAAATACTTACCTGAAGTGAGTGCAAATATCTTTCAAGATATATTGGTAGGTTTTTGTTTGGGTTTTTTTTGGGGGGGGGTTGTTTTTTTTCAAGACAGGACTGAGAAGAAAAAATGGCTGAGAGAAAATCTACAAATTAGAAAGGAAAATGAGGAAATAAAAAATAAAAAATGTGAAGTTAGAAACTTCTAAGACTAAGCATAACAATGATTTACATTTGCGATGAACGCTAACGAAAGAAAGAACATAGATAGATAGATAGATAGATAGATAGATAGATAGATAGATAGATAGATAGATAGAAAGAAATAATCTATCAGAATACACCGCGTTAAAAAGGAAAGAAAGAAAGGAAACAGAACATGAGATAGATAGATAGATAGATAGATAGATAGATAGATAGATAGATAGATAGATAGATAGTGAAAGAAAGAAAGAAAGAAAGAAAGAAAGTAAAAAAGAAAGAAAGAAAGAAAGAAAGAAAATGACATGAAGTAAAGAGTTGAAGATTTAAAAAAGAAAAGCAGTCTGTAGAGTTGGAGTCGAGTGGGGAGTGGCAGAAGGCAGGGGGTGTGAACACCCGTCAGTCATGACATCGAGTTTGAAAAGTGAAACCAAAAGAAACCATCTTCTTCATCAAAGCTAGGATCGAATTAAGAATGTATTGACTTTTCTTTGTTATAACACATTGCTAAAATGCATTCCTTCCTTTGTGCCCCTCCCCTCCGCCCACTCTTTATTTCTTCCCAGTTTTATTTGCGCCGCCCATTTTCTATTAACTGCCATTTCCCGCGTTAGCCACCGACAGACGCGCGGTCCTTGTTTGTTTGTTTGTTCTGCTATTGTTGTTTTTTTCCAGTTGAACTTGCCAAGTGCAAATAATGTTGACTAATAATAAAAGTGGAAAATCTTCTCGACTCTGGGGACAAAACGAAACTAATAACATCAACGACAATCGTCTATGAAAATGGCGGCATTTTTTAGAAATAAAAATAAAGTCCTATAAAAAGAAACTAGAGCCTGATTTTGCCGTATAATAGAAAATAGAGATTACAAAGCAACAGTCCTTAATATGTGAGCAGGCAGTCGCATGATTGCAGACATTCACGGCTCGGGCCCCGCCTCTTGCCACGTAAACTGAGTCGTAAGGAGGGATTTCCACGCAGAGATACTCCCCCAAAACTGTTGCATTTTGGAACAGACTCCCCTTGAAGGCGAGGGCCAACTGTTATCTATTCGACATATCCTCATTATATATATATATATATATATATATATATATATATATATATATATATATTATACACGTTTCATTAAATAATATAGACAAGTGTTGTCTATTTATTTTATGTAAATTCTTTTCATAACGTCTGATAAGAGTAATAACATTATCATTGAACGAAGAAAGAAATTCACAATATTGATCCATATTTTTTAATCCAATCTAAGCTTTCGGCTTACATAAGCCATTATCAAAGATGTCAATTACAACATATTAAGCAAAATACGGACACGACAGTGATGATAAGTCTGTGATTGTTTACATAGATAATTTCTAAGCAACGATAAACTCGTGCATATAAGACGCTAGAAGCGAAAATCGCACCGCATCTCATGACGACACACATGACCACGCAAGAGTGAATTGGAGAAGTATGAAGTATGGGAAGTCGTTGGTATAAACCAATGCCTTCTGTTACCAATTATAGACATTTAAGGATATTTGTAGAGATTCTCTACAAGTATGGGAAGCCGTTGATGTAAACCAATGGCTTCTGTTACCAATTATAGATATTTATGGATATTCGCATGGTCATGTGTGACGTCATGAGATGCTGTGCGATTTTCTTTCTTTATTCAATGATAATGTTATTAAACTTATCAGACGTTATGAAAAGAATTTACATTAAATAAATAGACAACACTTGTCTATATTATTTAATGAAACGTGTATGAATGAAAAGATGCTGCCTAAATACACAATATATATATATATATATATATATATATATATATATATATGTATGTATGTGTATATGTATGTGTGTGTGTGTGCGCGCGTGTATGTGTCTGTATTTGTGTCTCTGTATGTATGTAAAGAAAGTTCTTGTATTCTTTTTAAACTATATAAATATAATAGGCGTGTTAATGAAACTTGAGAGATAAAATACAACAAAAAAAAATATTGATATATTATTGATAATAAGACTAATAATATTTATTGCATACTAGTAAGGATTTTGACTAAATGGAAGCATGATGAGAAAGATTTTAAAATCGGAATTTTCGGACACACCTGCAGCCTTTTTCAACGAGACAAGAAATTCATTTCATTGTTTATTTCTTGTCTCGTTGAGACACTGTACACTGTATTCCAAAATATAACTTCAACAAAACTACAACATAAAATACACATATCACCGCCTCTATGTCCACACAAACATCTACATCATATATATATATATATATTTGTATCGAGCACTATTTTTTAAAAATAATAACTAAAATACCAAGGGACTTTGGATTATTTACCTAACCAGTTCCTTCCTATTTTCTATATATTTACACACACACACACACACACACACACACACACACACACATATATATATATATATATATATATATATATATATATATATATATATACAGTAGCGTCCAAAACTAAGGGACAAAATTTTAAAACCTAATATTTGTTAGAAATAACAACTGTGAAAAGCTGATATTTTGACAACTGGTAGTCGTTATCATCCATAATAACATACTAAAATTTGAATCATTTTCAAAGGATAGAAAAAGAATTATAACAATTATTTATTTATTTTGAAATTTTGAACGTCCAAAAGTAAGGGACAAAATTGAGAAAAACAATGTAAACACTATGCTATATTCAATTTTTTTGATTTCCTCTAAAGATTAAGTCTTACTTAGTCAATATAGTCCGAATAATATAAATAATGTACATAATACCTCATCTCAGAAATATAGACAGATATCATCTACCATGTATTCAATTGTGAAAGCAGAACAACTTATATTTTTATTATTTCAAAGTTCCCAAGAAAATTAAATTTCGGCATTAAATGGCCCATAAGGAGTTGACATGCCTTTAAATAAACAAATCAATCAGTCAATGAAGTCAATCTCTCCTGGGCTGTGAACTAATGTAGTATCTATTCTCCTCATCTCTAATGCTAATATATGGTAATATTAACTGTTTCCTATAAGGAAATATTCAGCATTCATTGACCGAGCAGCCAATACTACCGTCAGTTGAAATTTATAAAATATTTCTATTAAAACAATTTCTTTCGGCATAATAGGTTTCTGTTATGGTAATTTACCCATGCACGCATGGACTCTGACAGTCGGACCGAGCATTCTTGCTGTAACACTCTCGTTTGTATATGTTTGTATTACTGTTTCTGTTAATATATTTGTTTAACTCAATTCCTCTCTTGTGTCTTTGTTTCTGGCCCTAATAAGGCCACAACAATATATGAATTGAATTCTTTCTTTATCGTTGAGATAAGCATATTGTATAAGGTTGTACAGTATTAGCACTCACTGGATATAAAATTCGGCTTGACAAAATGGGGCAGAATCTGCATTGAAAAATTTGCAACTCTTATGGAAAAGAAACTACAAAAACTGGTAATAACCCCCAACAGACTGTGTTACAGGCATAGGACCTGTAACAATTTTATTGGGCTTTACAATGCACAGAGATTAGAACGATATGATTTCTACTGCAACTATACTGAGCACACCTTTGTTACAGTTTCTGGGTGAGAGCACATCATCTGGTGTGATCAATGGTCTGAACATGGCCAGTACTCTCAAACCCTCAGTCACAATGACTTGCTGTAACACTGCCGTTTGTATTACTGTTTTTGTTAATATATTTGTTTAACTCAATTCCTCTCTTGTGTCTTTATTTCTGGCCCTAACAAGGCCACAACAGTTTCTCAAGTCCACTAAGCATTATCGCTCTTTCCAGTGTTGATGAGGACTTCCTTCTTAATATCTGGTTTGCAGTGGGTTATTCAAAGTGAAAGAAAACGAGAAGATGTTAGAGAAGAAAAAACAACAGAAAATGACGATTGACGTTGCATTTAAATTTTTGAAGATCATAGGTTGAAGAGAAGCAAGAAACCGGACGAAAGTTGCACAGGCGAGATGTGTGAGATATGAAATCTCGAGACATATAGCAGGAACACCAGACCAGATGCGACAAAAATATTCAATACACGGACGAATGGTAGACTGATATACGTGCGAGAAATATTGTCTGGCATGACACAGTGAACCAACTTTCCCAGTAGAATACCTAGAAGTTGATTCAATATAGTCATAGCACTTCATATCAGAAGAAAACGTGAGACCAAGATGGCTACGAGTTGCTTTGCTGGGAGTTAGCGTCAGTCATGCAGATAGCTCGTGTACATATCTATGTATTATCTGTATCTAAATATGTGCAAAGTCTATCTTAGTATTGTTGCAGTTTTTTGTGTATATTATGGTACTAGTGAGCTAGCTCAAATGACTTGACTCACTTTATAGTCCACCAATAGAAGGTTAACCAATCAGAAGACGTAGAATATTCAATCCGTCGTGTATAAAGGCGGCCATTTTGTTTACTCTATCCGAATGTCCAGTGCCAGATTGTCAGGCGAGGAGAAACAGAAGGAAGAACTACGCTCTGCTACTTTACCGGGATATCCACTGCTAACCTGAACTACGCTTCCCTACTGTCTTCGAAATATTCACTGCTAACCTCTGGATTCTATACTCAAAGACGACCGTCATCATGAACAGCAAGTATGGCTCATAACTAAATGGAAGAAAGGGAAAGTAAGAAGCTTATGGAGAAGTCTCCCTTGTATTATCATTTTATTTCAAGTGAAATGATTGTTTATCATCGTTATCAGCTTCCCGACTTCGTGTTGGTGTAAGGTTGTTTCGAAGTCGATTATCTGACCAGTTCCTTTCAATAAATCTCGGTTGTGTGCCAATGTCTGCCAAGGATCTTCCAGCTCAACACAATGACGTTAGCAGCCCATTTTCCATTGCTTCTTCTCCTGTTGCCTTAGATGCTACCTTGGAGATAATATCGTTAACAAAAAAACAAATTTAAATAAGTTCATATAAAATATTAACGAATTTTTAGGGTCAGTTGGGTAACATCTTAATGCGATGAAATGTAATTATCAGGCCCGTGGGTAGATTTCACTTGACGACCCACACCGGCAGTGTGTGACATAAAGTCAGTTTAATGTCGATAGCCCGAGTATGTGAACAGGGGGAAGGTCCCAAAATATCCCAGTCACTGCAAACCGTCGGTTGCACTGGTATCTGTATTACTACCGATCCCCACACCCCGCTTTAGTGCAATGAAGGGGAGGTACAGCTGTTTCCCGAGACTGGGCACCCCTCAGTAATATTTTCAGTTGCGCTCTGTCCGAAGACAGAGACGCAGTTGAGAGATAAAATGTTTATCGCCCTCAGGGCAGATACTACACTTTGAT